TTGCATATTAACTCGTCTCTCTCTGCCACCAGACCTGAGCTCCATTAGAGTAAAGCTTCGATTCTGCTTTGTTCACCACCAAGGCCAAAGGCCAAGAATTATTGTCTGGCATATTGGTGTCCAACAAAGACATGGGATGGGTGGGTGGATGGATGGATGGATGGGTGGATGGATGGATGGATGGGTGGATGGATGGATGGGTGGATGGATGGATGGATAGATGGATGAGTGGATGGGTGGGTGGATGGATGGATGGGTGTGTGGGTGGATGGATGGATGGATGGATGGATGAGTGGATGGATGGATGGATGGATGGATGGGTAGATGGATGGGTGGATGGATGGGTGGGTTCTTCCTCTTTTTTAATTCACAGATCCTGGGGCCTACTTAACACAGAGCCGGATTGCTATTGGACACTCAATGAACATTTACAAGAGTGAATGAATGAATGAATGGCATGTAGACATTCTGTTTGAATTCACTGCCTCTTTCAGTCAATGAAACTGAGAAACTATCCAGGGCTTACTTAACAGTTAAGACAACTGTTAAGTATTCAAAAGCTTAATAAAAGAGGGGGAAGCAGAGAAAGAAAGAGGAGGAGACGGGGAAGAAAAAGGAGGGAGAGCAAGAAGGGCTGTAAGGATGGTTGGACGCCTGCTTCTAGGCAGCTTCACCTACGTAACCCTCCTGGTCACTCCTGTTTGCACCTGCCCCCACAAATGACAACTTACACAGTTTCAGCTGTGTGAAGGTGTGAAGGCCCCACACAACCACTGTGTTTCTTGCTTTCAATACAGTCCTTGATGAACTACTCAAGATGCTTAGCACTCTGCAGTGGCACAGGCCGTGTTGGGATAGCGCTACGGGCTGCGGCACATGCCCGGCGCGTGTCTGAGGTGGGCCGGGCCAAGCTGCAGCGTTCTCCAGGTCTAGGTGTATTTGTTAAATGCATTTTCAACTTACAATATTTTCAACCTACAATGAGTTTATCAGGACCTAACCCCCCCATAAGCAGAGGACACCTGTACCTGCTGACTAACTTCATCTTCTTGTGTTTGGTGGATAAATCCCTGCAGTAATAAAGTCATCGTCATCAACAGCGACAGCGGTAAGTAGCCCACGCACGTTACGCACTCACTCTGCGGATCCCACCCACACCCACTCGCTCAGCCCTCACACACTGTACCCCAGGGATATGGAGGAGGCCGCGGTGAGGAACTGAGATCCCGGCCGGTGAACAGGAGGGCCAGGCGAGGCCACGCCCCTGCTTGTGCCCATCCTGAGCGAAGGAAAGCCAGTCCTTCCTCTCAGTCTCTGCTCAAGCATCCGCCGCACATAGGGAGACTCACTGCTGAGCATCTTCTAGAAGTAGCAGCCTCTCCTGCCCACCACATACGTGGTGCCTGCTATTGTTTCTTTCTTTTTCTCTTCTTTCTTTTTTGGTCTTTTTGAGACAGTCCAGGCTGGCCTTGAGCTCACTTTGTAGCCCAGGCTGGCCTTGAACTCATATCAGTCCTCCTGCCTCAGCCTCCCAGTGCTGGGATTACAGGTGTGCGCCACCATTCCCGGCTCACTACTGTTTCTTGCACTGAAAATACGTGCTTGCGCTCTGCCTTCCCACTCCAGAAGGGTCGGTTACAGTAGGGGAGACCTTTTCTTCTCATCTCCATTTCCCAGAGCATACTGCAGTGGCTGGGACATAGTGGGCATTCCGATAAATGTATGTGACACCAATGAGTCAGCAAGTCATACCCAAGTGCTTTTGCTGCTAACTGATGATGGAGGACCAAGCACTTGGTGATCTCTCCTGGTCCCCCCACAACTCCCCACCTCCACCACACAGGCAGGCCACCCAGAGTTGAAGCCATGGGGCGCTTTCCCCGAGTTCTTCACCCGAGATGGGCCCCGCCTCTGCTAGAGCTGACCAAGAGGCCTTCCTGTAGGAGGCGGCCTGGCGCCTCTCCCCAGTGTCACTCCCACATCTCCGGCTGCTCCTTCTCAGCTTTGCTGTGGGGCCCTCTTCCTCATCCTGCTGCCAGCACTTGGCTAAACCAGGGCTTACAGACCAGCCAGCACTAAGCCACCCACGGGCAGATTTTATTTGGCCCACACAGTACTTTTTTGTGTTTGAATTAGTTTTAACATTTAAAAGCCGAGGGATTTTGTGTTTAAAAATACCCAGATTTATGTCTTCTCTTGGAAATTTGGAACATCTGGCAATGCAGGGTCCCTCTTCCCATATGGCAGGCACTGTCTCCAGCAAAATAAGTACCAACCACATGGTCTGAGCCATCCTCTCCTGGGGGTTAGCAGGCGCCCCAGCCCCCCACGAACACCTGTGGAGCTTCAGCCGTGGACCCCGGAAACACCTGAGGGCCACAGCGGAGTGACCACTTGTCTTCCCCAGGAGGAACAGACAGGGCGACGGCAGGGAAAAGTTTGTGCCAGCAACTCGCATCACATGGCTGTGCGGGTTTCCCACGCCGGAGCACGGGGGCAGTGGGCCTGATCGTGTGAGCTAAAGCCATTCTCTAAAGACGCTCACCCTCGGGGCCCAGCTGCACATGAGAGAGACGACAGATGGGGGCAGAAAAAGGGGCAGAGTGAGGAGGGAGAGGAGAGGGAGGTGGGGAGACAGGGATTCACGCAAATTTACTGAGAGGAATGAAGTGGGGTGGTGTGCAAAGGCCAGATCACGATGGAGAAGTGTTTCTCCCGTGGGCTATGCTCCTGTGAGTTGGAAAGTGACCACTCTTGAACCCTATCCCTTTGGGCTGGGCGATGCAGAGCACATGGGGCATGCACAGACTTGGGCTGGTAGGGGCTGGCTGATCCCACTGGCAGTGGGGAGACACGGAGGGCTCTTGAGGTGCAGTCTCCACGAGTACCTCTGATGGCTCCCTATGCTCATGCGCTTGAGCCTTATCACATCAGGGTATCTGGAATCCTGCTTCTCTTAGCATGCCCTGTGGCTCAGCGAACATTGTCCCTGGGTCTGACGCAGGATACTGTCCATACCGGGCCATTAGAACAGGGAGATCCTGCCTTTTTCCCCTCATCCACTTTAAATGGACACTGAACAGTGACAAATGTTTATCCCCCTCATTTTACAGACAAGGGAAGAAAGACTCCCAGTTTGGGAACCCCTTGCCCTGGGTCATGGAGAATGACTGCAGCTGCCCATCTCAGGGTGTTCTCAAGTTCTAAGCCCCACACAGGCCACCTGCTTGAGGCAGTGGAGGACAAAACTCCAGCAAGCACGGAAGATGGCAGAGAAGATTTGAGGCAGGGATGGTGAGTGTGTGTGTGTGTGTGTGTGTGTGTGTGTGAGATGGGAAAGCACTTTCACTCTGTCCAATCTCCATCATCACCACCAGCATCATAAGTACCATCACCTTCCTCCTTCTCTCATCATGTTACCACAACCATCATCACCATCACCACCATCACCAGCATCACCAGCATCATCACCACAACCATCACCATCACCACCATCACCACCACCATCATCACTATCACCATCACCACCATCACCATCATCACCATCATCACCACCATCACCATCACCATCACCATCACCACTATCATCACCATCACCACAACCATCATCACCACCATCACCACCATCACCACCATCACCACAACCATCATCACCATCATCACCATCACTACCATCACCATCACCATCACCACCATCACCATCACCACCATCACCATCATCACCATCATCACCATCATCACCACCATCACCATCACCATCACCATCACCACTATCATCACCATCACCATCACTACCATCACCATCACCCTATCACCATTGTAATCATCACATCATTGCCACCATACCATCATCATCACCATCATCACCATCACCATCATCAACAGTACTCTCACTGTCAACATCCTCAGCACCACCATCACAGTCCATCACTATCATCACCATCTTCATTATCACTAATTGCTGTCACCATAACCCTGTCACTCCCATCATCATCATGACCATCACCATCACTATCACCATCATTACTTTTTTCTCTCCCTTTCCTACCACTCTGGGACCAAACCAGGTGGGGTAGGTGATCACTAACCCCCTTCTCTTCCTCCCTCCCATCTCAGCCCTGCAAGGGGCACAGCCTAGACCCTGGGTGATATGCTTGGGGATCTTGGTGTTAGCCCCAGTGGCAACAGCCTATGTGATGGTGTCCAGCTCCCTGCCAAGGCTCCTCCTCCCCATCCATCTGTGCGGCAGTAGTAGGTCCTGGGAGACTCCACATGGGGCGTGGTGCGGGGTCCGGATGTACACAGCGGTGAGCCCTAGTTTAGAGGCTCTCTTAAACACACAGGAGGCAACATTATTCAAACTATATACCAGTGACAGGTCCTCATGGAGACACGAGGTCCCTGAACTGGCTCAGGACGTTAGGTGTGTTCTGGAGTAGCTTGTGCGCACAGGAAGGTGTGGATAGATGCTATGCTCTTACACAGGTTAGAAACAGGGGGAAGGGGCTTTGCCCAAATGGAGGCCTCCTTTCCAGAGGAGGACACAGAGGGAGGGATTTTCATTGATGACACTGGCCATGACTTGTAAAACGCTACGGAAATACCAGCGCCCTTTCTGGGGACGTGAAGGTCTTTGTAAAGATAACGGGGTGGTCATGTCCCCGGGTGACAGCACAGTGCCCGGCCCTCCTGCGGACTTGGAAGGCTGTCAGCCTCGAGTCCGCACAGCCCACCCTCCAAGGCCCGACCCCCTGAACCGACCTGCCAGGCACAGGTGGAGGGCTGGGGGG